ACACCACTGCACTCCAGCCTGACCAACAGAGCAAAGCCTGCCTAAAAAAAAAAAAAAAAAAAAAGATTCACATATCCAGGTCATTTCAAACATACTTAAAAGGGCTCCAACAATTAAATCAATTATCAGTTTTCAAATTTAAATTAATTAAAATTAATTAAAACTTAAAATTCAGTTCCTCAATTGCACCAGCCACATTTCAAGTGCTAATAACCAAATGTGGTTAGTAGCTATTGTATTGGACAAGTAGTAATAGATCTTTATAGCTTTTCAAAATAGATTTTTCCACTATATATATAATATATAGTATATATTATATATGTGTGTGCACATATATAAAATGGAAAATCTATTTTGAATAACTATATATAAAAATTCTGTGTGTATACACACACACACACACATATATATATTTTTTTAATAGACACAGGGTCTTGCTTTATTGCCCAGGCTGGTCTTGGTTTTAAACTCCTGGGCTCAAGCGATTCTCACACCTCTATCTTCCGAAGTGCTGGGATTACAGGAATGAGCCACTATGCCCAGCCCCATTTAATATTTTTATGCACTCTCCTTGATGAGCTCTCCAAACTTTATTTGCTTCCAGCAACCAATGAGCGTTTTTAAGCAACACTATAAGTTAACACTTGTTAGGTGCTTTGGGGAAGGTCTAAAGAATACAACAAGGTTTCTGTCCTTTAGTCACTTAGAACCCACAGGTTAGAGATGATACAATTCCCAAGTGCTTTAGGACTACAGAAGAGAAGGAAATGAATTTGGGCTAAAGTAGACATAAGTATGGCTTCATAGAGAAAGCAAGAGTTGTGTTGAACCTGTTTTATTTCAATAAAATTGGAGAACCTTTGATTTTCAGCCTTGAACTCAAAGAGTCGAGTGGGAGAGACACAAACTACAATTCAACATGTTAGAGTAAGAATGAGGTTTGCACAGATGGGTCAGGAAGACATCCCAAACGAAGTAGGTGATATCTGAGTTGAGTCTTGAAAGATGAAGGATGACTAAGAATTAGCCTGGAGAAGACACAGACTGGGGAAGAGCCAGCTGAGAGAGTGCAAACAGGACATTCCAGGCAGAAGGATTAGGTGAGCAAAGGCTTGGGGGTGACAGACAGGGAGGTTTTATGCATAAACTCTAAGTAGTGCTGTTATTGAAAGGGAGGGACATAGGAGACAAAGCTAATAAAGACAGCACAAGAAGAGGCTTCAACTTTATCCAGTAGAGATAAAGGAGAGCTCCCCGAGGGGAGACTTTTTAAACTCCCAATGCTCAAGCCTCTTTCCGCTCCAGTGAAATCAGGAGCCTTGGAGTTGGACCAAGCATCAGTAATTTTCTTTTTCTTTTTCTTTTATTTTTTTGAAACAGTTTCACTCTGTCACCCAGCAATGGTGCGATCTCAGCACCACCATGTCCAGCTGATTTTTGTATTATTAGTAGAGATGGGTTTTCACCATGTTGGCCAGGGTGGTCTCAAACTCCTGACCTCAAGTGATCTGCCCACTTCAGCTTCCCAAACTGCTGGGATTACAGGCATGAGCCACTGCACCTGGCCAGTACTTTCTTTAAGCTCCACAGGTGGTTCCCATGTGTAGCCAAGTTTGAGGATTGATGGTTTAGAGAGGTTGAGTAACTTGCCTAGGGTTTGAAAGCCAGTGAATGTGAGCCAGGATTTAAACTCAAGTATGTCTGGCTGCAAAACTCATGCACTTAACCTTAGCATGGAGCCTGAACTAAAGCAGTACTAATAGGGATGTAATAGTGGAAACAGATTATATATTTAGGAAACAGAATAGGCTGGGATTTAGTATTAGCTAGGGAAAGGGAGGAAAAGGGAAACTCCCACTTTTTAGGCTCGAGGTATTGAAATGGCAAAGGCAGCATCAGCCTGTACAGAGAATGGGATGGAGAGAGGGCAGGTGTGGAAGGCAGAGGAGGCCAGCAGAAAGAGAAAGAAGAAAATTTGAGTTCATTTATAAATTTTAGGTACCGACTAGGCATGGTGGCTCATACCTGTAATCCCAGCATTTTGGGAGGCCAAGGCAGGCAGATTGCCTGAGCTCAGGAGACTACTCTGGGCAACATGGCTCAACCCCATCTCTACCAAAACTATAAAAAATTAGCTGGGCATGGTGGCACACACCTGTGGTCCTAGCTACTTGGGAGGCTGAGGTGGGAGGATCGCTTGAGCCCAGGAGGTCGAGGCTACAGTGAGCTGAGATTGTGCCACTGCACTCCAGCCTGGGTGACAGAGAAAGACCCTGTCTCAAAATAACTAAATAAATCGTAGGTACCTTTATGACATTTTAGCAAGCATTTGGATAACATTCGGAGCACAGAGGATGTAGAACTTAAGATAAAGATTTAAGAGTCATTCATTCATTTATTCAATAACAATGTAGGAGAGTGGTTGTGATTGAGGGAGAGTTTATACAGGTGATGACAGGACCTCTGGATAAACCAGATGGTTAACAAGATAGACAAAGGAACAAAAGTCCACAGAAATGACTGAGAAGAAATCAAAGAGGTAAAAAGGGAACCAAGAAAATGATGTCAGGAAAGGCATCTTTCAAGTCTGTTGAAAATGTCCTTTTAAAATGTATTAATGGACACTGTTACTTGGTTAACTACAGTATAAGAACACAGACAAGGGTCGTATAACCATATTTCAGTCAACCACAGATCACGTATACAATGGTGGTCTCATAAGATTACAATGAAGTTGAAAAATTCCTATCACCTAGTGACATCATCAACACATTACTTATGTGTTTGGTGATGTTGATGTAAACAAATCTACTGTGCTGCCAGTTACTCAAGCAATCCTCCCAACTTAGCCTCCTGAGTAGCTGGGACCACAGGTGCAAGCCACCATGCCCAGCTAAATTTTGTATTTTTTGTAGAGATGGAGTCTTGCCATGTTGCCCACACTGGTCTCAAATTCCTGAGCTCAAACAATCCACCTGCCTTGGCCTTCCTAAGTGCTAAGATTACAGGTGTGCACCACCGTGCTCAGCCTGTTATTTTAGAGTATACTCCTTCTACTTACTAAAAAAAACAAAAACAAAACAAAACAAAACAAAAAAACAGCCGGGCGCAGTGGCCCACACCTGTAATCCCAGCACTTTGGGAGGCCGAGGTGGGTGGATTACGAGGTCAAGAGTTTGAGACCAGCCTTACCAACATGGTGAATCCCTGTCTCTATTAAAAATACAAAAATTAGCCGGGCGTGGCGGTGTGCACCCATAATCCCAGCTACTCAGGAGGCTGAGGCAGAGAATTCCTTGAACCTGGCAGGTGGAGGTTGCAGTGAGCCGAGATCGTGCCACTG